TATATTATTTTTAATTATTACTTTTAATTATTAATTAAAATTCTAAATTATTTTATTATTTTAAATTATATATTTTAAATTAGAATTAAAAAAAATATTTATAAATAATATTTAAAACTTATTATAATTATTATAAATTTCTTATTTATTTTTTAATCTTATTAATATATTTATAAATTTTATTATATTAATAAATAATCTTTTTATAATTATCTTAATAAATTTATTAGTATTTATTTTAATAATATTTTAATACTTAGTAATATTAAAAAATAATATCTTAAATATCTTTGTATTATTCTCTTAAAATTATATTATATATAAAATTAAAAAAGTATAATTTAATTAAATAATATATTAAATATTTAGACTATTTTATTTTAAATAAAGAAATCTTAATAAATTAATATAAAAATATAATTATATATAATATATTAAGAAAAAAATAGTAATAATAAAAATTTATATATTTTAATTAAATAAAATAAATTTATACTTATTTTAAAGCTTATTAGATATTTTATTTAATAATAAAATTTTAATATGAAATTCTATCTCTATTATTTAATAAGAATTAATTTATTTCTATTTTATATATAGAGAAAACTAAATTATTAATTATTTTCTGAAGAATTATATCTTATTTCTTAATTATAAATTTTATTAATTAATTTATATTTTGTAATATTTATTTTTTAATATTATCTTATAATTTATTATATATTTTTAATAAGATTAATATTTAAATTATTAGATAATCAGTTAATTAAGTAAATCAAATTTTTAATAATAAATTTCTTAATAATATATAATATATATTTTAGATTAGTATTCTATTATAAATATTAATATCTTTTATATATTCTTTAAATTATAAATAGAAGTTGAATTTATAATATTTTTATATAAAAGAACTATTCATAATATTAATAAAACAAAATAAGAGTTTTTTATTTGAAAAATATTTTTCTTTATTATTTTCTAATAAAACTTAGATAATTTTAAATAGATTTGTTTTCAGTTTTATATTAATAATAATCTTGAAATTAATATTATCTTATTTATAAATGTTATTTAGTTCTAATTATTATTTATATATATCTGTATTTATACTTTTCTTAATTTAATATATTATATTATTCTGTAAGTATTAATATTACTAAAGATATAAAGCTTTTATATTTCTTTCTTTTTATATATTTCATATTATAATATATAAAATCAATATATTTTGTATATTTTTTATTTTTATAACAAGTTAATAAATTAAAAGAATATTATTATGTCAGATATTTTGTCTAATAATACAAGATAGAATTTATATAATCTTAATTTATTACAGTATCTATTTTTCTAAGTTTTTTAAGATTATATTTAATTATATAAAGAGAAATATTTATTATCTTATATATTATTTTGGCTAAATAAGTATTATTAAGCTAGTAATATTTAATTATCTGCCTTTGAACTTTGAATTATATATTAATTATCTTTATAAAAGTATAAATAAAAGAAAATATATGCAAACAAAAAAAATATATTTATAAAAATTTTATTGCTAGATATGAAATTGATTGTATTAGTAATATAATTATTATTAATAATACATATTTTTTTATGTATTACAAAAAAATAAATCTTATTAACTATTATTTTTTTCTTAATATACTATATAACTAGTCAAAGAAATTACTTTATTACTTATTATATTATTATATAAGAAGCATGAATATTAGTAAAATGAACTGAAATAGCAAGTATTTAATAATTATATTATTATTACAAGTAATATATCTGAATTTGCAATTAGTACTATTCTTAATTAAAATTATAAAAAAGATAATCAACAATTATCTATAAGTTATATAAATTAACTTTTGCAAACAAAATTATTTAATATATGAGAAGGAATGATTAATATAATTTATCTTTAAAAGTTATATTATATTTGAAAGAATAATATTTCATTATAATTACTCATTATACATTATTTGAGTATATCAAGATATAATATAATCTCTTAAAAAAATAAACTTATTGAAAATAAATAATTTTGAAGTTAACTATAAGTCTAAAAAGAAATACTATTATGGATGTTTTATCACATCTATTACAAGCAAATAATATTATAATCATCACTACACAAATAATTGATAAAGATAAATTAAAGCTAGATTATAAAGAGGTTGATTATTTTAAAGAAATTTAAGATATATTATAAAAATTTATTTTATTATGTGTTAGATATATGTACTGCGACAAAATTCACATGTAGATGAGTCGATGCTTGATGATCTAATCAAATACATTCAAGACTTTCTTTTGGAGCACCATATTGACTCTATGACTGAAAATTTTGCTTAATTAATCAAATCATATTCGAACACAACTCTTTCACGAAACTTCACAAATTTTACACAGATGTTACATGTGAAATCCTGCTTCTGTTTTCAATCGAATGATTTTGCAAAACTGGAAGAAATTGCATTAGTTTCTTTGCTCAAACGCGATGATTTGAATCTCCAGATATTTGGGAGAAGGTTCTTGAATGGGGAACTGCTCAAGTCTCCGATTCTGAAAATGTTGATTTTTCGATCCCCGTAGAGAGATGGACACAAAACGAATTTACACAATTAAAAATTCACATTTAAACAATGTTTACCGTTGATTCGTTTCTTCATATAAACTCAGTTGATTTTTACAATAAAGTAATGCCCTATACGGAACTCTTATCAGCTGAATTATACAAGGATTATTGCATCATTACTTGGTTCCCGGAAGTGAAAGATTTTCAAGCTAACAAACACCCTATTAGAAATTTTAAATGATGATAACGATAACTCTACGGTACATACCCGAAATCATTCAAAAAATAAGAGAATGGATAAAATCGCAAGATACAAAAATGAATTCATTTGATTTAAAGATATTGTTACGAGGTAGTCAAGATGGATTATCTGCTGCTGATTTTCACCAACAATTGTTGCCATTCGGATTAAAGATTCGGGAAAAATAATTATGGACGTAATTTATTGGAATGAAATGAAACAACGGCTGGTATAATGGACCAAAATAGCTTTTTATTCCGATTTGATCCAAATGAATCAGGTAGTCTTATAGGCAAATGTATAACAGAGAATAATATAAAGATATTGTCAGAATTATGACCAATATTTGGCGGTGGACATGATTTGGTCTTATTTAATCCATCCTTTCGTGATGGGAATTATTGTAAAAAAGAAACATATGAACATGGTCTGTTGAGCTCTGATAATGGACGAATTATTTTTGTTATGATATTATGAAGGTTTCAAATTGTGCAAAAAATAACTTTATTTTGTGGCTAATACAGAATTATGCACACTAATCTTTTCAATTTATAACGGACATAACTATTATTAAAATTCAATTAAACCTGTTTAGAGTATCCTTTATTTTATAGCGTTCATAACTGTAAAGTATAAGTATCTAGAATTTATTAAATTTCAATTATATAATTTTATCGGAACGCACTGTATAAATTTACCAGAATTACTATAACTAAACTAATCTAATCAAAATAATTCATAGAGGTACGAAAAACTTTTTGAATATAAATGTTTCTTTATCTTTCAAGGAAATTATTTGTTTTTTAATTTATATTTAAAAATACATGTTACGCGTATATTATATAAATCAAAATTACATGTACAGTCGCCACAGAAAGTAACACCCGATTTGCGAGTGTAACACATAGACAAATACATGTACTGTACATGTATTTGTATTGATATATACACCTTTTGGTTATTGCTGACCTTAAGTTTTTTTTTATTTTCTTTTAAACATACATTAGGCGAGATTTGTTAAATGTAAATATGATAACTGCCATACTAAGTCCAATAATAGTATAATGTTCTCTTGCCAAGCACAAAATAAATAGGAAAAATAAAAATTTACTAAGGTCTGGGAGACTACAAGATCTTAACAATCAAGAAAAAAATTCACATTTAAAAGAAGTCAAAAAGATAACCTGAGCCATTTCACGGCAATGGCAATGTTCAAATTTCGATGTGTTGGTTTTTGAGGAGGTTGTTGGCTCAATGTCTTGAAAAATATAATTAATTGTAAAAAAAAGATTTTATATACATAAGATATTAACAAAATAAATCGGATATATATCTGAAATTTCATTTTTCTAAAAAAAATCGGGCGTTACTTTGTACGTATATGTGATACAATCAAAAAAATATTTTGCATAATTATTTACATAATAAATCCTCAATCTATCTCAACATCCCAACACCCATCTTCCCGAAAATCCAACATCCGGAGAATTCAACATCCCGACAACCTCTCATCCCGACATATCCAACTTCCCGCCAAACCCAATTTCCAGACATAAACCAGAAATTGAACTGGTTTTTTGGGAAATTGGGAAAGTTAGGTTTGAATTTCGGGAAGTTGGATTTGTCGGGATCACCATTTTAAAACTAAATATAATACAGATTAATGATAATTTAAGTTAAAAATTACCAATTACATGTAATATAAAGATTTGTCCAAGTAATAGTTACACATAAAAAGGAGATTATGAAGAAAATTAATTTATATAAAATCTCGTATCTGAAAAAAGTGCAACCAATTATAAAAAAAGTAATCACTTAACATTAATTAAAAAATAAGGCATCCACATAACATAGTACATGTATATATCGCGCATCCATGTAATTCTTGCTGTTATTATGTTTAGTGTATAATGAATTTTATTTAATAAATAAAAACAATATTCTACATTGTATAAAATGTTTATTTTTAAAATTTATATGAGAAATCGTTATTCCAATTTATTTTTATTTTTATTTTAAGCAAAAAGTGCGAAGGTGATCTTTGAAAACGTATGATGCATCAATAGTCTGAAGATGCATAATCGTATATAGTGATTTTCAATAAAACTTAAGGTTATAAATCTCTCTTTCCTTTATGTAACTAAAATAAGTTATATTATTTCACTACTTAAAATGTCTAATGAAGAACATATCATTTTAAATGTCGGTGGAATAAAGGTATAAATCTGATTATTTAAGCAATCTTACGTATTGTGCATTTATATAATATTTTTATGTATTTTCCGCTTCTTTATTTGAAGTATGAGACTTTTAGGTCTACATTAATGCGATTTCCTAACACACTTTTAGGGAAGATGTTTCATCAACAAAATCGTTCCTTTCTTCGCCCAACAAATGGGAATGAATATTTCCTCGACAGAAATGGATACGCGTTTCGTTATATCCTTGAATACTATCGAACTGGCGTAATTATTTGGCCTGAATACCCTTCCGCTTTTGTGTCTAGAGAAGAATTGACTATTGAATTTTTCTATTTTGAGATATCAGTTCCTCAACAACGATAGTTTTTATGTAATTTCCACGTAAAACAAGAAAATTGTTTCTGCATATATATGTAAACATCTATATATTTTTAAGGACATTATATTAACAGCAAACTATAATTGTAATCTTTATAATTTCTGCTCGTAAATAATACTTTCATGTCTTAGGGTTGCTAATATATGATAAACAGACCTTTACATAGGCTTTCTATGTCAAAATACCTGTAAAATCCACGCGCGCATATTTACGAACTAATGAAAGAGTGAAACTTTTATGAATAGATTCTTTTGAAAGGTTTACCATCTTCCCAAAGAGATTTAGAGTAATTTATAAACAACCTTGTTTGATGGATCTTTGTGTTATGATCATTTTATTAAAAATTAATCTATACGAAATATATATGTAGACATCAAGTTGTTTTGAAATTATTATATGATTAAAGCAAATTAGAATAGAGTTTGTAAATGAATTATTTCTAAATTATAATTATGGATATTTATTTGTTTTCTAATTTCTAATCCAATCAGTTATTTATCATATTAATTGAGAATATGAAAATTAGGAAAATTTCTGATGATATATCGCAACTACAATAATTCACGAAAAGCAGGTTTGTGTATCGTAACTTTTATCTTAGAAATATTATATATCACCGAGAAATTACCTATATTAATCAAGAGGTGGTTGTCATGCACAAAAATTGCAGTTATTTATAGCGATATCTATAAATATGAGATTGTAATTGGTGAGTGACTATTCGTGAAAGATGCTATGTTAATTTTGCTTATAAAAGTATAGTGAGTGAGAAACTTGGAAAGTTCTCTATTCTATCAGTAATGTAGACAAATATCGATTATGAGTAGAAACCAAAATACTTAGCATCTTCAGTATTATGGATCGTGTTTACAAAAATTCTTGAATATATGCCAGATCTTTAATCTTCTAGTATCAACATTGATACCGCTTCACAAATTCTTACAAAAATTCTTACTTTGTAATATCAAATTTAACAATGCCTTTCCCCTATCATAAGAATTTCTTACAAAAATTCTTTACGTTTCCAAGGATAATTATTATCATTAAAAATTTCATACAAAGTACGTATCGTACGTTAATTCTTTGATTCATAGAAATGATTACTTATCATTTACAGTCTTTCTATACAGTCATACCTCACTGATTTTTCCAATTCATTTACTATGAAGCATAGGAAATTAGACCTCCGTAAAGTCAAATCTCTTTAAATTTACACGTTTTGCTGTTAATTCCGTTACTTGGTATCAAGATATTGAGTCTCAAAAGGTAAAAAATGGAATTCTATGATTGATTTTACGCATGGCTTCTTTGAAGCTCAATATCAGTGACAAAAATCGAGTATAAAACCCAAATTCGACTTGATGAATCGAAAGGTGGGTATTAGTCTCGATTCCATTACTGGTTCTCGAGATATTGGACTGCAAAGAGATCTTGCGTAAAATAATTTATCAATTTATCTTTAACAGCACCTTGAGACCGATGAAGGAAATCATTTATAAGTCCAATATTCGATTCTCTAGGTTCCAATGTATAAAAGGTATTCCTTACAATCATATCTCATTGTTGGGTCTTGAGATATTGAGCCTCAAGAAGCTGTATATAAAAATGTTCATCAAAAATAAATCATAATTCTATGTATATCTTTTTGGGGCTCAGTATCTTGAGACTCAATGACAGGAATTGAATATAACCTAGGGAATCAAATTGTAATAATTATACTCGATTTCCAACCCCATCATTCATGGCTTGTGGCTGTTTGATGTGAGTTCAACTGCTTCCTCACCAATACACATTCCCTTTGCATTGCAATATTTCGTGTTTATACATAATCATTTATAATAAATTTTTATGATGTTAAATAAATTCTCATATTTTATGGATACACGAGAACTGAATTTTTGGCAAAATACGAAATGTTTATTTATTTCTTTTTATTAATATTTTGTAATTAACATCAATTACATGTACATGTTCATGTACGAATATTACACCAATCGCGAACATTACGAATATTATACGAATTACAAGTATTACATCAATTACAGCAAAATTACGATTTTTAAGTCAAAATTTGCAAACTTTCAACTTTTTAAATTATCGTATTCTTCCGAAATAAGCACTACCAAAAATAAGCACAAGTGGTATTTTACCCAAAAGGACTAGTTTTTCAAAAATAAGCACATCCGAAAATAAGCACCAATTTTTAATTATTATATAGCTATATTACTAGTTATCATTATCTGAGTTTGTAGCCGAATCATCATCCTGAGGTACTACTTCAGGTTGATATTCAATATCTAAATTATGCTCATCAAAAATATAATCATCTTCTGTTCCATCTAAATCATTAGAAATTCCACATTTTTTAAAAGACTTAATAACAATTTCACTAGAAATACTATCCCATGCCTTAATAATCCATTTACAAATAATATTATAACCAGGTTTTTTCAAATTTTCTCCCTTCATCAACTCATACTCACCTCTAGCCATCCATATTTCCCATTTTTCTCTTAACTGATCTTTAAATAGTTTGTTTAAACAAATATCCAAAGGTTGTAAAACTGATGTAAAGATCACCTGGAATAATTGCTATATTGATATTTTCTTCATTACATCTTTTTTTCATCAAATCAGTTTTATATCCTTCAAATGAATCCATTACTAATAAAGATTTTCTTCTTGTAAGACCACCAGGCCTTCTTGTCCAAACTTTCTCTATTCACAATTATATAACTTGTTTATCCATCCATTCTTTTTCTTGCATTTAAACAATAATATCCCAAGAAAGATTATAAAAAAGATATTTTTCTTTAAATATAATCATTAATGAAAGCTTAATATCATTGATCAAAACTAATAAAATACAGATAAACTGATTTTTTTCATTATCAGTTATTCTTATATATAATTTTATTTTCTTTTGCTTTAACAGTAATATTTCCAATCATATCAAAAAAGATAGAGATTTCATTCATATTATTAATCTGTGCAAGATTATAAGCTTGTACTTAATAAAAATCTTGTTGTATTCTAATAATTTATTATATGATATTATTAAGATTTTTAGAAAGCTTTTGACCAATTTTGTTTAATAATATAATAAAAGTTCATAATGATAAAGAAACTAATAAAATTACTAGTCAAATATGACTAAAGTATTAGATATATTAGAATAAGTATTTTTAAAATTATTTTTTAATAGATATTTTATTTGGTACTTGATTATAATAGTATTTAATGCAATATTATTTTTGCTAAATTTTAGAATTCATTCTGAGTTTCTTCTTGATAATAAAATATATAATTTTTCAGTCTGATTCTGAACTACAAATTTTATAACTTGATATTTCAAGATTTTCTTTTTTTAGATCTAGTGTGATATTATTAAATAATTAATTCCATATCTTTAGAAAGCAGTTATTAATATTTATTTTTATAGTGAGAGTAATAATATAGAACTTTTTTATAATAGTATATGACTAATAATTTTTTTTATTAGGTTAGATCATTTTTGCAATTAAAGAAAAGAAATTTAATCAAAATATTACAAGAATATTTATTGTAAATGCATTAAAAAATTATATAAAAATATAAATATGCTATATTAGTCGTGCTTTTTATTTGAAAAAAATTATTATTTGAAAATAAATACTATCTCTGATTTGGAACTCAAAATATATTTTAAAAATTTATATTTATTTTTCAAAGAATATAGTAATTAATTTAGAATAATATTTATTATTATATATTTTCTAATTATTTATGTAATTTTTCTATTATATAAAAAGAATTATCAAGAAGTTTATATAGAATTTTAAAATAATTAGCAAAGCAATAATTTAGAATTCATATAGAAAACTAAGACAAAAATAAATAGAATATTATTATTAAAACTTAAAACTTTTATTATAATTATAATTATTAAAAATATAAAATAAAAATAATATTTTTAAATAAATAATTTAGAATTATATGAATTAATAATATAAATACTTATATAATAGTATCTTTAGAAGATAAATATAATAATAAAATATTATAAATAATAAATAAAAAAAATAATAGAAATTTTACTAAAAATATCTTCTAAATAATTCAAGTAATTATATAATTTATTTAGATATAATTAAATAATTATTAAATAGTAAATTATATATGATATAATTAGAAATAATATCTTAATTAATTATTATTTATGATAGTTAATTAGAGAATTATGATTTAATTATGATCAATTATGATAATTAATTGGAGAATTATAATTAAGTTACAACTAATTTTAATATTATCTTTAGATATAATATTATAATATAATATAATTTACAAACTAATTTAATTAATTTTATTATAATTTATTTAGATGATTAATATTTTTAATTAAATTTCTTTTAATTATTCTTTTATATTTTTATTTATTTTTTAATTATTATTTTTTATATTATTATTAATTATTATTAATTTATTAGATTAAATATTTATTAAATATAAATTAAATTAATTAATTATATTTAACTCATATTTATTTTAGATTAATAATTTATTTAAATTTCATATTTATTTTCTTTTATATAAATAAATTACTATAAATAATTTTTAATATATATTTTTAAATCTTTATATAAAATTAAATTTAAAACTTTAATATTTGATTCTCTCTATAAATTTTTAAATTAAAAATTAACTAATTTAAAAATTTTAATATAATCTGATATATAAATATAAATATATTAATATACTTATAATAAAAAATTTTTAGATAATTTAATATAAATTATTAAATAACTTTATTTATTATATAGTAATTAGAAAATATTTTTATATATATTTTATTCAAATATTTAATTTTAATAAAAGTTTATTAATCATTAATTTTTTTTATTTTAAAATTATTATTATTTTAACTAATAATATATTATTACTTGATTTATTATATTCTATAATCTTATTAAGTAATCTTTTTCAAAAATTAACAATAATCTTA